AGGTTATCCTAAAGGGCTCCAGCGGTGACCGGGAGTTGAAGCTTGAATAGGAGGATGTTTGACGTTTCTTTCTATTGGATCAGATGAGAGTTGAAACCCCAAAGTTTAGAAAGTTGCCTACTTCTGCTTATGAAGACCGAAAGCTCTTTAGGCACGGTACAAAAATTAAGGCTGAGGAACACGGGTTTTTTTTTTCTGACAGGCTAGGGAGACAACAGGAAGAAGGGATGAGAAAGAGAAAGGAGACATTAATCTCTCCCACTTAGAAAAACATGTCTTGATGAATAATGCAGAAAAATCCCCAATGAACAGAGTCAGCTCCAGAATGCCTTGAGCAAATATTTTATCCTGCGAGTGGTCCTCTCCTCCATTACTGCTGTTGATGATTAATCTAGATCACATGTTCATGGATAAGTCAAGGAAGTTGGACAGACAGCTGCTGCTGGCACTGCTGTTTCTCCCTTGTGCTGCAACAGCCCAGTGAGGTGGGCTGAGTGCTAGGGATTGGCCCCCAAGTATCCAGAAAGCCACATGACTGACTGTCTAGTCTAATGAAAAGAAGGACTAGGGATGACATGATAATGGTCTTCCAATATTTGAGGAGTTGTCAAAAAGAAGAGGGGGTTCACCTATTTTCCAGAGCGCCAGAAGGCAAGATGAGAAACAACGGATGGAAACTAATCAAGGAGAGAAGCAACCTGGAACTAAGGAGAAACTTCCTGACAGTTAGAACAATTAACCAGTGGAACAACCTGCCTCCAGAAGTGGTGAATGCTCCAACACTGGAAGTTTTAAAGAGGAGATTGGACAGCCATTTGTCTGAAATGGTATGGGGGTGTTTCTCCTCTCTTCAAATTGGAGTCACGATTGCATGGAAGCAAAAGTTGTTCAAAAACTGAGCTGAGAACAGCTTAAATTAGAAATGTTGCTGAGTACAAGTGGCATCTTACGTTGTCTGCTCTTTTTCCTTTTTGCTGACTTGGCCAATTTGGTAACCGAGTGGTTCTTTTAAAAAACAACAACAAAAAAAATGCAAAGCCAACGTCATTTAGGTCAGGGCATGTTTTCTCTTTGCAAGTCATGCACACAAAATTATTGACTAACTTGGCACCCTTCTGACAGGCAAGGAGAGAGAGAGATATATTTTGAGAGAGAGAGAGAGAGAGAGAGAGAGAGAGATTTTGAGAGAGAGAGATTTTGAGAGAGAGAGAGAGAGATTTTGAGAGAGAGAGAGAGAGAGAGAGAGAGAGAGAGAGAGAGAGAGAGAGAGAGAGAGAGAGAGAGAGAGAGAGAGAGAGAGAGAGAGAGAGAGAGAGATTTCATGTACTTAAGAATTCACATTTTCTTCTTCCCGCATGAATAACATGTATTTTCGGTGGCCAAAGGAGAAAGTCTTTTGTAACTGTTCTATCATTATTAGAAAAAATTTGCCCTGCTGTTTTTTAAAAACAATACATAGCATGAAGGGGGCTGTGCGCGCGCTTATCTCTCTCTCTGTGTGTTTATGGGGAAACAGCTCCAAAACAGGTTGAAAACAACAGTGTGAATTTTATTTGGATCACTAGAAAAGTGTCTCAGAAGCCTCATAGTGAGCTAGCTAAAGCTGGCCAAGCCCCTTCTTCCATAGCATCTTTTGCTGAAATCTACAGATCAAATCTTCGCATGGTGCAAGAACTGAATTGGGCTGGAGATGGTTGGTAGCCTTCTCTGTAAAGTTGATGCCCCTGAATCTTCAGAAACTGGAAGGGAGAATGTGTACTAAGACAAAAGCCAACGAGAGTGACAAGATTTACAGTGGGAGGTTCAAGCTTGAACTAAGGATGAGTTTCTGACCCTACAGATCTATTAAGCAACGGAACAGCTCTAGAAAGAGTGCAGAGAAGATCAACAAAGATGATTAGGGGACTGGAGGCGAAAACATATAAAGAACGGTTGCAGGAATTGGGTATGTCTAGTTTAATGAAGAGAAGGATGAGGGATGACATGATAGCAGTGTTCTAATATCTCAGGGGCTCCCCCAAAGAAGAGGGAGTCAAGCTATTCTCCAAAGCACCTGAAGGCAGGACAAGAAGCAACGGATGGAAACTAACCAAGGAGAGAAGCAACCTAGAACTAAGGAGAAACTTCCTGACAGTGAGAACAATTAACCAGTGGAACAACCTGCCTCCAGAAGCTGTGAGTGCTCCAACACTGGAAGTTTTTAAGAGAAGATTGGACAACCACTTGTCTGAAATGTTATAGGGTCTCCTGCTTGAGCAGGGGGTTGGACTAGAAGACCTCCAAGGTCCCTTCCAATGCTATTATTCTGTATTCTCCCTCCTATCTCCCTCTTTGGGGTTTCAGTTTAAAATGGAAATTAAATGGGTGATTTCTCAAGTAATAAATGAAAAGACATCTGAGGATCTTAAGGTCGGTAGTGCCCCAAGTGATGGAGCTGGGGAGAAAGCGTGTAATTTTCAGACTTTTATGTGGTTTGCGGGATCGTCTGCTGACTCTTTAAAATTACTCATTGGAATAATTACTCAAGTTCTGGACAGCTGGAGGATTAAATCTGATCACAGCCTATGGTTTTACTGGGAAAGATAACATTGTAAAAATTCCTTTTTCACAGTCATCAGAATCCATTTATAATAAATCTCATGCACGTGCCTCAAATCCTGTCTTTGCTGCACTATCAAAATCCTTTCCAACGGATTCATTTAAAGATAAAGCAAAATCTACAAGTTGTTCCTAGAAATACTGTTCAAGGATTTGTGGGAGTCGTGGTATAAATAGAAAAATAGGGTTAAGGATTAGAGTCATGGCTGCAGTGTAGAGGACTACATAGCCCAGGGCAGAATGAAGGGACATTTTTGTATATGGGTGGGTGTCAAAATATTCAAGATGGGAGCCTTGATTACATGATAAAAGCCTGTCTCTTGGTTGATGCTTTGTCAATGAATACAGGTAGTCCTCAACATACAACGGTAATGGAGTTTGCTTGTTATGGCCGTATGTCATAATGATCATAACATGAATTGATCATGTGACCAACCTGATTTTACAATCTTTTATTGCAGTGGTCTTTAATAATAATAATAATAATAATAAAGTTGGAAGGGACCTTGGAGGTCTTCTAGTCCAACCCCCAGGCAGGAAACCCTATACCATTTCAGACAAATGGCTGTCCATTCTCTTCTTAAAAACTTCCAGTGTTGGAGCATTCACCGCTTCTGGAGGCAGGTTGTTCCACTGGTTAATTGTTCTAACTGTCAGGAAGTTTCTCCTTAGTTCTAGGTTGCTTCTCTCTTTGGTTAGTTTCCATCCGTTGCTTCTTGACCTGCCCTTTGGTGCTTTGGAGAATAGCTTGACTCCCTCTTCTTTGTGGCAACTCCTCAGATATTGGAAGACTGCTTTCATGTCCCCCCTTGTCCTTCTCTTCATTAGACAAGACATTCCCAATTCCAGCAACCGTTCCTTATATGTTTTAGCCTCCAGCCCCCTAATCATCTTTGTTGCTCTTCTTTGCACTCTTTCTAGAGTCTCAACATCTTTTTTTACATTGTGGTAACTGGATGCAGTATTCCAAGTGTGGCCTTACCAAGGCATTGTAAAGTGATATCAACGCTTCACGTGATCTTGATGCAGCCTAATCATTAAGCTAATCAGTGGTTTGCTGCGGGCATGGTTTTGTCTCATGTGATTGTAGAGGGCTCATGTCATAATCTAGGTCATAAGTTCCCTTTGGGGGGCTGGTTGTCACTTTGAATAGTTACTAAGCAACCGGTTGTAAGTCAAGGGATGGGCGAACCTTCAAACAAGCAGTCATGATTGACATTTTGGGGGATATCTCTGCTTTGAGCATCTTACATTCAACTGTAATAGAGGACAACGCCTTAGGGTGAATATTGATCAGCCACTCAACCTCTGCGTGAAAAACGTAGAACTATCATCCTACATTTTCTTTCGGACAACAAAATGTTTGGAGTCAGCCAAAATCAGACCGAAATCCCTCCATTTATTTCTGTGCACTCCTTCCATCGCTTCCTTTTCAGATTCAGAAGCCAGGCAAAAATAATAATAATACTCGTTTCTGTTTCTCTGTAGCACTCCAGAGTTCAATTGTGTAAGCCCCTTGTAAGCTGTTAAGCGTAACATCACCCCACTGTTTCCTTGTTAAAATGTTGTTACATATTTCCGTGCACCCAAAACAGCAGTGTAGGGAAAAAACAACAACAATATTGCCTGTCCAACTGTAAATAAAATGCATTGTTTCCCCATTCTGCTTGCGTCAGGTTGTTTTTTATATATATATATATACTTTGGATTAAAAAATTTAGAAAGGAAACTAAAAACTAACAAGGGCTAATATAAAGTAAGGAAAGGAAAGGGGAAAAAAAGACATCAAAGAAAAAGCTAAGAGCATCAAAAGAAACCATGCAACTTCTTGCTATTTTTTTTATTCTTTCTGTTTTTTGCGTCCAGCTGGTTGGAAGGGACCTCTTTCTTTCTTACCCAAACAGGTAACAGGTTTAGCAAGTTTCATGATTAATTATGATTGTTATTTTAGTCCGCTTAAGAAACGGCCAGCCAAAAAGCTTTGGAATGAACTGATTCATTTACTCTAAATTTTAGAGTTGTCGTAACTGATTGCAAATTCCAAGCGGTGTTGAAATGGACAGTTGGTGTTTCTGAGTTAGGATGAAGCCAGGAAGTGAAGTCTGTGTTTCCTTGCCCAGATGCAGCACATCTGTTTGGCCCAAATAACCGGAAGCTTTTGTTGAGTTCAAAGCAGAGAAGAGCTTATCATTGTTACCTGTACAGAAGAATCTGGTCAACTAATGGTCAAAATTAAATAGGCTCTGGATAAGGGTTGATAGAAATTCACAGGGATTTCCTGGACTTGGGTCTCGTGCGGGAATGCAAAGATTCCAAACTGATGACACATTGAACCACACCCTCCAGTTCAGCCTGCTCTTCTCCCACAATATCATTTAAATTTGTCCCGTTCTTCTTCCTAGGCAGCGGGAACCGATGTGCAATTTGGCCCCATGAGGCTTCACCGAGAACAACTTCAGGTAAGCCTCTATTAAAGATGCATATCTTGGTTTGTCCAGGAATTGGTTACCTAAATGAAGAAATGTCTGTGCATTGATTGCTGGCTACTTCCATAGCGTTTCCAGCTGAAATGTTTCCCTATCATCCTATGGTAAAAAGGAATGGAACGAAGCCACGTAAAATGTGCCTTTTAGAGCAGATATTCACAGCCCATTTCACTGAGCATTGAGCTAATAAACAGAAATCCCGAGTTAATTCGGGGGTGGGGGTGGCTTTTGTGCAATTGCACATATGTATCAGCCATACGTAGGTATAAATTGTGAAACTGATTGTCATTCTGGCAGGTTTAATTCAAAGGGTATAAACCCAGTCAGAATACATGCAGAGTGTATGTGTGTCTCTGTGTGTGTGTGTTTGCCTACAGGTAGGTGTAAATGTTGAGATTTATTGACATTCCAGCAGCTCTAATCCAAATATAAGCACAGTTGGAATGCCTGGAATTGCTTAGAAGTAGGAACTAAAACTAAGCGTTGCTTGGAGAATATTCGACTGAGCTGAATATTGAAATGGTCCAGTGGTGGGATTCAAATATGTGAACAACCGGTTCTCTGCGTGAGTGCCGCTTCTGGAAGTCCGTTCTGGGCCTGGGCAACAAAAAATTAGCTACCGGTTCTGCTGAACTGGTGCGAACCGGCTGAATCCCACTACTGAAATGGTCCAAAGGTATCAGTATATATAACTTATTATGAGAAATTATAAGCGATAGAGACATTTTGAACACTGATGGGAAATTAAAATTTTTTTTAAAAAGCGGGAAAAACAGGATATTAATTGAACAAATGGATATTAAGTGCAAATGCAATTAAGAAATATTTTGGTTAGAAAAGATATTTTAAACCGACACAGTTGATATTATTAGGAAAATGTAACAAAGACGTTGATATTCAATTGTATATGTATTAACAACAACAAGAATTGTATTTGCCTAATGTGGGAAAATGTGTACTACTGGAAGAAGAGAGGAAGCATTGGATGGTGTAATATTGGGCCTAGATTGAAGAAGTTAATAATGTACACTGAATTACTAATGGACCCAGGACAACACATTGTTTATTAAGTACTTATGATTGTAAAACTAGATTACATTAATTAATAAGATATTTATTAAAAAAAAGATATCTGATGAAGATCTTACTCTGGCTATCCGATCCTTTTCTTTTGAGAAGCTGGAGATCCATCTGCTCTTCTCCTGGGAAATGTGGTTATCACTGAGGCATACAGAGAGGGAAGCAACAGTGCATGCTTCAGGACGCAAGTGAAATGAATTGCACTCCCTACAAAATTGTGCCATGTGAGATTCAGTGGCATCGCCTTGTTGTACAGGGCATCATATTGACATAATTGTGGCATCAGGACTGGATACTAGAGATGAGGGACTTTGGTGTCCTCTATGGTTTTGGAGAATTGAAGGGGCATGTAGGAGAGGACCTTCTCTGTCAAAGTTTTTGGCCTCCTCCATCTTGTTTGTGGTGTGAAGATCTGGCCTTTTATTCTTCCATTCTGGACTCATCAGCATAGCCTATAAATTGTTGCCACTTCTTTTTTTCAAAGTACCTCTCTATTATTGGATGGATGGATGGATGGATGGATGGATGGATGGATGGTTGGTTGGTTGGTTGGATGGATGGATGGATGGATGGATGGATGGATGGATGGATAGATGGATGGTTGGTTGGTTGGATGGATGGATGGATATCCTACCTTTCATGTACAAGAATTCAAGATGGCATACATAGTCCTCTCTCCACTTATTTCCTCCCCTCAACAACAAGTTAAAGCTGGATTTAGAGAAAAGGACTTGCCCAAATTTATCTACGGAGCTATGTTACTAAGGCAAATCTAGAATGCACAGTCTTTCTTTTTCTAGTCCAGCACCTAAACCACTACTCCAAACTGGCTCCCTCATTTATATGTTGTGATTGTTGTTCTTTTAATTTTTTTAAAAAAAGTTTTCTTTACTTTGGTTTCATTTTATTGCTGTGTCTATTTGATGGATTGTAAGGATATGCAAGGTTTATAAACATCTTAATAAGGACTTAGGGTCCATGAATCCTGGGGCCAACGTTGTGTGCAAAAGATTTGAGATTTTTGATCAGAGTCTTTCTCCATCTCTCTCTTTCTTTCTGTTTTGTTTGCCTTTAATTAGGTACTCTTAGTGTTTGCCAAAGAAGACAACCAGAGCAATGGCTTCTGCTGGGCCTGTGAAAAAGCAGGATTCCGCTGCAGCATTGCCAGGACACCTGAATCTGCCCTTGAGTGTTTTTTGGATAAACACCATGAAATCATCATTATTGATCACAGGCATTCGAGATACTTTGATGCAGAAACGCTATGCAGGTGAGTTCTTTTTTGCAATCGCCTTTTGTAATATGGGATTTACTAATCAGCCTTGTTGACAAGGTCATGATGCCCTGGGGGTGTTTGATGTTTGGCATCTGGCCACTCTTGGTGTGGAGATCGCTTTGTGACAGGTTCAATCCTTCACTTTCCCTCAGCGTTTCAGATGTGTTTACATTCCAAATAACGTTGGAAGTATTCGATGCGTTCACTTTATAATCTGACTTTCATTCAGGAGATCAGTGGCACACCTAATGCTCCAGTAAGAACAACTAATCAGTGGAACAACTTCCCTCCTGGAGTTGTGGGTGTTCCATCACTGGAGGTTTTCAGAAATAGACTGGACAATCATTTGACCGGGATGGTATAAGGTCTCCTGCCTTGAGCATGGCATTGGACTGGAAGTCCCCTCCAGGCCTATGAGTCTATGTCAGGGGTCTTCAAAGTTGGCCCTTTTATGACTTGTGGACTTCAACTCCCAGAATTCCTCAGTCAGGCACGCTGGCTGAGGAATTCTGGAAGTTGAAGTCCACAAGTCATAAAAGGGCCAAGTTTGAAGACCCCTGGTCTATGTTCTCCTTTCTCCAGTTTTCCCAGCAGCTCAACCTTATGTTAGGCTGGGCTGAGAGCGCAACTGGGTCAGTCACCCAGAAAACCTTTGGGTCTAAGGATGGACTAGAACCTGGGTCTTCCCACTCCTAGTTCAGCACTTTCATGACTACATCATACTAGTTCTAAACAGTTTCTTGGCCTTTATTAATGGTTAGGAGTTGGGTTTTTTTCTTCTGATTTATGAACCTCAGTGAAATATTCTTGTGTTGATGTCAAGCACGTTGTGGAACCCACCTCAATTTCTTTACCTTCACTTTTTTTAAAAGGTCAATTAGAACAACAAAACCATCTGAAAACACTGTTATTATTGGGGTCGTGCGGAGGTAAGTGAGAAAAATTGTTGCAGCCTCCTATCAAAAATATATACAAATGCAAAAAGGCAGGCTAGGAAGCCTGTAACTGGAAATCAAGACCCGTTCTCTCTGATTTTTACTGACATTTAGCTGACTATGTAGCTGCGCAGCCTGGCCTTTTGAATGTTAGGAATGGGGCTGGTAGGCAGAGAAGACAAAAATAGAGTGACTGAAGATCATT